GCTGTATCAATTTAAAAAACGGAAAGCTGCTATTGGCCATAGTCAGTAACGCTGTCTCCCGTTCTAGGCATGGGACCCCAAGGGTGCCGAGTAGATGGACCATTCGGAGACCTGAATAGGTGGACCACAGGGCTGCCACCTGGCGAAACTACCTCAAACCCTAACGACTCACCCCTATGATAGAGAACAATGGTAAGCCATGGTAATAAGAACTGCGCCTGTTATACGAGTAACCCTGCACAACATTTCAGAAGGCGTACTTATGCTCGTGTCCCAAGAGAGAAAGCAAATAACGCAATGCAATTTCGTTCTGTTCCCTTTCCAACTTTGAAAGAAGTCAAAGAGGTTCATATGGAAAATGTTTCTACTTTTGTTTTCAGTACTGGAGAAAGTTTAAGAAGCATGTGAGAATAATAGTTGCGTCAAACAGTACAAGGAGTAGAAATTACTAGGAAAGTAGCAAAGAATGGCAACGTATTAGTTAAGGCAGATGCACAGCCACGAGAAGGCAGAGAGAAAAAATAAGAAAAAATAAAAGGGCATTCGGCGAACTGATGGACGACGGCTGTTAAAGCTCGGCTCAGCCTGAAATTAAAAATATAGCATTTAACGTATGAGGGAAGGATGCACCACATTAGATACACTTGGGAGAGAGAGAATGATAATTTCAAACAAAATAAGAGTGTAGCCACAAAGTTCTGTCGATTCACCGCATCCATCTTATTCTAAGGGTTGTCACTTAGAGTTTTTAGGGGCGGCATCATTGATAGTAATGATAGATTTTTCGATTCCTATTATAAAGAGAAAACCGCTATACTTAAAGCAAGTCGGGTCTGGACACTGCTGATCTGTCTTGCATTTCAAGATCTACGCCGGTTCGGGTGACAACGTTGGTATATTTATACAGTAAGAACACTGCAATCCTACACTGTACTACACTTACAGTTTTCGGGCCCCCGGGTAAGGGAATGAAAGAACACTGCGCAGAAACTGGTTCTGAAAGGACTGCCCGAGCATCTTAGAGCAAAGAATACTCGTTTTCACTGGACTAGCATAAAACTACTTGACCTGGGATTTAGACAGATCTGAATAACTTATTTAAACCACTTGTGAAAAGCTGTGTGGCCGCGGTGAGATTCGAACTCAT